AAAAATTGTAGTAAGTCTTTAAACGTTTTTCTCGTCTCTATTTGCCCCCATGAAACTTGCATTTCAATTCGACCTTCTTTGTAAATTGATGATCCTATTAGATTTATTGTTTGTCAAAATTTAGGCAAAAAGTGTGTTACTAATAGTTGTTCCGGTTCAACTACTTATTTTTGTATCCTCTTAAAATCTCAACAGAAATCAAAATTCAGTTTTGAATCATTTTCGAGATTGATTGTAAACGTTGACTTCTATGGTCAATGTTATCAATTTGTATCAATTTAGATGATTTCATTTGGGATGGTAAAATCGAATCTTTTTACCACAACAATAAAAAAATATCTACAAATTAGAAATATTTCTAGATAATAGCATAGAATTTATAGTTATCGAGTTTTTGTTTTATGATTATTTCAGTTTTAATAAGAAAATATGGAAAAAAAAGAAAAAATATATATATATATATATACACACACACACACACACACACACACTAGGCGAATACTCGCGCGTCGCGCAGAAACATTTATAAAGTTGAAACTTTACAAATATATGTTTTTTTAAATATAATAATAATGTCGTTGTTAAATTTGATATAATAATTTGTATACTAAGTTGACATATTATATTGCTTATTTTGAATTATATGATAATATATACATTTATTAAAACTGCATAATCTCAATCTTTTGAATGGCCTTTAGTTGCGGGTTAGTCATAAATAAAATTAAATATAATATATAGTTTAATGATATTTATAGTTGTTGTTATTGTTAATTCATTTTTAAAATTTAGTTGTTAAATTTTTAATTTCTATCAGTCTAATTATTTAAAACATCAAATAATTTATTTTTATTTTTATATTTTTGATTTTAAAGGTAACAATATAATCATTTATTTAGGGTTATTTTTAACTATTGTTATTTTAAATTATATTAAGCTACTTATTTCAAATCTTTTAACGACTATAAAAATATATTTACGAAATATTTTAGTAAATTGATATTACAATTTAGTTTTTGCATTTAACACTACAATTTATCACTTTCACTATTCACAAAATATTCTTTGGGTTTTTTTAAGTGGAACTGAAATTTATATTGAAGTTGACCCTATAATGTTATATTTAAATTAACAATTGAAGTATTTTGTCCATACAGTTCAAAGTTATAACTTTAAACTGATAATGGTTTACATACAACAACATATTAAATCTAATAAACTAAGTATAATATTTGAAAAGTTAAAGACATAACTTAATAAGTAGAAGTAAAAATATTATTTTAATATTAAAATTTAGTTTATTTTTTATTACACTTTAGGTTTGATACTTATTTATCCTTATTAACCAATTTATAATCATTGTTAGAAAGACACTACAATTTATCATTTTTAACTATTTACAAAATATTCTTTGGGTTTTTTAAGTCGAACTAAATTTTATATTTAAGTTGATCTTTTAAGGTTATATTTAAATTAACAATTTAAGTATTTTATACAAATTGATCAATAGTTGTAGCTTTAAAATGATAATGGTTTAGATACAACATATTAGACCTATTAAATTAAGTATAATATGTTAAAAGTTAAAAAAAAAAAACTTTATAAATAGAAGAAAATATATTTTTTTAATATTGAAATTTAGTTTATATATGATTACACTTTAGGTTTGATATTTATTTAACCTTATTAACCAACTTATAATAATTATTAAAAAGAAATTGAAGGCAAGATGTCTTAATGGAGTTTACGGCCCAGGGGAGCTTACTCCTGGCCGTAAACTCTCTAATGGGTCTCCATTTGAGGCTTGAAGGCAAGATGTCTTAAGTGGTTAAGTGTTTTAAGGCTAAACAAGAGGCTAGGTGAGTTTAAGGTCCAAGAATGACCTTAACTTGTGTTTACGGTCTGAGGACCACTTCCCCATGAGTTTACGGCCGTAAACTCATGGTGGGAAGTACCTTTTCGTTGCTTGAAGTCCCTATTTAAATGAGGTATGGTTCTAGACTAAGTTCCAAGGCTTGGTAAGGGATTAGGGTGCAATTTTCCCCACTTATAGGGGTATACGGCCTAAGAACATGTCTTGGACGTAAAATCCTTTGATCTTGAGTTTCTTTGTGATTTCTAAGCTCTAAACATGTTAAACCTAGTGTACAACGAGTTAGAACAAGAGTACTTACGATCTAGGAGCTTGAATGGTCGGTTTTGGCCAAGAACACTAGTGTGTGTTCTTGGTGTTCTTGGTGACACTTGAAGATCTACACAAATGGAATGATTTCACGGATGAAATCATGTAAGATCACTAGTTCATGTAAGATATCAACTAGTTGGGGCAAGAAACTTACGAGTTTTGAATATCGGGGACGAAGATCGGGATGATACTTGACAGGATTTCAGCCAAGGGGAGGAAAGGAATGAACAAAATGGCCAAGACTTCATCATATAGGAGGAATTTACGACCCATATGGATTTTACGGCCGTGAACTCCTTGTTAAGGGGTTTCAAACTTGTTCTTTAAGCTATAACTTCAACAGATAAACCCCGACACTTATTTCTTAAGTGTACAAGGCTCAGAACGCTCAAATAAACTCCAATTTGTGCTAAATGATAACAGGAATGAGTTTGACTTTCAATGAAGTATTTGACTGTACAGGATAGAAAATTTTGGGTTATCACATGCTCACCGGAGATCTATTACGAATCAAAATATGAAACTAAAGTAGAGCTCAACTCAGATCTCATGAATTATTTGCATATAAACATACATCCGACATTCATCTTCCTTTAGCAGATAAAACATCACATCACCTTTTCACCGATATTTTCAACTCACCGGAGACAACATTTATATGTAACAGTGGTGGAGGAAACAACGATGGTGGAGCACCGGTGGAGGAAACAACAATGGTAGAGCATCGTTCTTGTGGCCAGCGATCTGGCGAGGTTCAACAATGATGGTCAGATTTGGAGGCGGTAACAGGTGACGTCCGTAGTGATGGAAGAGGTTTGGCGATAACAAATGGTGGTTCAAAAGTGTTTCACCATATCTCATCAGATTTGTGTTTTCGTTGGCGGTAGGGTAGCACTAGGGAGTAGGGAGACAAATGTGGAATAATTCGCCAGAGTACACGATGGTGATGATGTCGTAGACGGTGGTTCCGATTGCCGACAAGCTCTTGATATGGCTAGAAAAATTAGGAGATTCTTGAGAGGATAAAAGAGAGAAATATCAGATCGAGATCTGATTTTGAATCAAATGATATGTTTTTAAGGAAGTGGGTTTCGATTTAACAATATTTACTATCATGCCACTCCTTTTTATATTTATTAAAATTATATGAAATATACCAATAGTTATAAAATATAAATAATGGTTGTTAGGGTTCCTAATCTTTTTTAGTTCTCATTTTATCTTTTACCTATATATATATATATATTATTTTCAAGTATATTTATATGTAGCGGTTCGTGAGATGATATGATTTTAATATATACCTATTTTATCATATATTTAAAATATTTAAAATGTTTTATAACAACTTATCATAAGAATTGCTAACTTGGAATTAATAACGGTTATAAAATAGTTTGAATAGCATATATGTGTGAATCTTAATAATTATATTATTATCTTTTACACAACTCACAAACATTCGTTTAGTATAACATAACAATTAACACGTAATCACACATCACCAAGAAGGAAGTTTGTACATGTACTTTTGTGGATCAAGATTACAAGAAGCCACGGAGAATCGTTCGCTTAGACGTCCGATGGATGGTTTTAGTTTTACGAGAAATCATTCGATTAATTTGAGGTAGATTTCTTGCTTGTTTTATGGGGAAACTGAGTCGGTACTGAAGATTGTCTTGGTGATCATCTTCTCCGATGGAGATACTGAAATCTAGTTTTAACCTACAAAACCACACTTATTATGAAAGACGGTTTAGATTTGGTTACCCTAAAGATTAGTTTATCGGGTGATACTTAAATTGAAAATCAAGTTTCATATCAGTTTTTATTTTCTCATTTCTTTATAATTTATTTTATCATTTTCTTGAGAAAAAAGTGCAAAGGAATAATGATATTGTGTATTTAAAATAATCTTTAAATGGGTATGATTGTTTATTATTATTATTATTATTTTTTATTGGGTTATAGATTAAATAGAAACAACGCGAAGAAATAGTGAAATAATTTATCGGATTATAGGTTTTTAGAACTTATAATGGGTATTGTTCTATTCAATTACTTTTATTTTGGTTATTTGATAGTATAACTATTTATATGGAATTTTGTGTTGTATTACTTTTCTTATGGCTAGTTTAAAATCAGTTAATTCTATAATGTGTTTTTTATATTTAAATAAATTTATTCTTGGTAATTTATAATTTAATCTATTTGGTATCACAGAATTCAATTAGTTTGATTTTGTTATTATTGCGTCTCCGAAGACTAAACAAAAAATCATGAGAAATATATTTTTATCAAGGGGTCCACGAAATCCCAATTTTGATGGTTTTTGTATTTTTTTTTTCAAGATTAAATATTAAAAAAAATTTAGAAATATTGTACAGAGATTATGGGTATTATAGATTCTAATATTGTTGGTATGGGGTTGAGAAGTTCTCAGTTTTTGAAAAACAAAATATAAAAACTCTTCAAATGTTTCGTTATGTAATTTTTTTTTCAAGATTAGTCAAATTAGAGTATTAAGATTATATATTAACAAGAAGTCATAGAAATATAGATTTTACTTAATTTTATGATGGGTTGTAAGAAACTTTTATTTTTGTGAAAAAGGGAAATCGTTAAAACAAATTTTTTTATACGTTCGTACTGTATTATTACACTCTTTGACACAGCAGTAATGGACGCACCACCACGATCACCACCACTCTTGTAACAAACAAACTAATATAAGACAAACATCCTGGTGCAAGGTGATTTTACATCATTTGAATTGTTTGAAGAAACCCTAGCGATAGCATTCAGAGCAGCTGACATGAATTCCATCTTCTTCACCGGCGGTAACTTTGCTCGACTTGCAGTGAAGAACAACACCAGGAAAATGGGGGAAACAAAGAACAAATCCCGTGTGTTAATGGTAAGTATTTAGTTCACAGTAAGTATTCAATACATAGGAATATAAAAATGTGGAAAATAGTAAGTATTCAATACATAGGAATATAAAAATGTGGAAAACAGAGAGCTTGTAGTCATGATATCGAGCTCTTTTGTTTGTATAATTCCAATGCTGTCGAGCTGTTTTCTTTAATGGTCATAGACCCTAGGGGAATTTGATTGCCTTTTCTTATCATTTATCGATATTTTCAAAATTACAGCTGATCTTATTCTTTAATGTCTATTTATCATTTACAAAAGTGCTTTGAAAATGTGGAAAACAGAGCCTCTGTTAACGATATCGATCTATTTTGTTTATATAGTTGCAATGTGTATCGTCTAGACCCTAGGTAATTTGATTTCTTCTTCTTTATCTTGTTTATCATTTATAAATCTGTGGGAAGTGCTTCGATCCCTTCAAAACTACTGATATTTAAGGCCGAAAACCCTTTGTTTTTCATGTATAAATGAGTGTGAAGTGGTTGGAAACATTTGAAAGGTTCTTTTCTTTATGTTTATGGCTCCTACCAAAAAAATTTCAGGGCAAAGCGAAAGCACAACTCGATTTCACGTACTCCGGAGGATTTCCTCGTTTGAAGCAATCCTTCGTTTCTTCCGATCCTATATCGGAAAGTCAGGTGACCTTTTATCTAATTATGCTAGCTATGTTTCCTTTCCTGGTCATAAGTTTTTTGATGATTAATTCGTGAAGTTTGAATATACAAGTTGAATACTAACATTAATGAAATTGATTGCAGGATCTCTTTAAGGATATGATCTCAAGTGCATCGTTTGTAAGAGGTGGGATGTTGTACAACTCCCCTTTGTCGGATGAAGCCATCATGTTTACTGGAGCTTGCTCAAGGTTACTCAGGTTCTCGTCACCACCACAGCCGTCTGCAACATATGTGTCCCTGTCAATCAACATCCCAAACTCAAGTCCACCCCCAATTCAAATGGAGGAGTTAATTAACCGAGTTGACGAAGGAGAGTTTCAGATTGTGTTCCTAGAACCCTTACAGGGACTGGGTGGCATATATAGGTTTCAACAAAAAGACTTGATCGATTTGAGGAGTGCTTGTAACAATTCCAAGACAGTTCTTGTGATGGATGAGGTAAATCTCTCTTTCTATTAAAACTATATAAGCATATACAAATAAAAAAAAAAAAAAAAAAAACTGATGATACATACTTTGATAATTCAGGTTCAATCTGGGTTAGGGCGTAGCGGAACCTTATGGGCACATACTCCATTCGGTGTTGAACCGGATGCTATGCTCATTGGCTTTGGAGACGACATTGGGATTGGCGCGATTGTTGTCAACGACATACTTGCTGATTACATTCATTTTTATCAGCCGGATAAACAATTCACGCCCACGCCACGTTACGTTGTCTGGATGCCTCGAAGTTGCTTAATATGGTATCCCAACAAGAATATTTGAACAAGGTCCAAAGCAGTGGGAATTATTTGAAGGAGTCATTAATCAAGAACTTGGGAATGCATCATCAGGTTGTGGGCATAAGATCAATTGGTCTGGTTTCTACTATTGAGCTGAAGGTGAATGCGCAACCATTGATCATTGCATGCCAACAGCTGGGGCTTCAGTTGGAGTTTGGGGGAGTAATCAACAGCATTCGGATGATGCCACCTGCTGAGGTAACCCACAAACAAATTGATGAAGCTGTTGCAATCCTTCAGAAATCCATGATAATGGTAAGCTATTAGGATGCTTGATTTTCTTTTTGATCTTTTGGTTTGAGATACTTGATTTTGTTTCATCTTTTGGTTTGAGATACATTTGACTCTTTATTTCTGATCATGCAAGTTACTTCTTATCTAATATGGGTTACCATATTGAGGTTGAGTCCAAAGTTGAAACTTTGAGGGTTTATTGCAGTTGGTTTTTTTCTTTTGTATTCAAGTGGATGTTAAATTTCTGTGGTTTGATTTTCTTTTTATGAATGGGCTAATGGCCTAATGCCTAATTATGGGAAACACAAATTAATCAGAAACTTAACCATGCAGTCGTAATTATAGGACCCAAATAACCATTAATTACAAAATATATCTTCTCCAATTTTAAAACATATGATGTCTACTTTAAACCCAACGTTTTTTTAAATGTTTTGTCTACTCTTAAATCCCAAATGTGTGTTATATGTTGTTGATTGCTTGTGATCTTTTATTTTTCAACGATTTTCGTTTAACTTTTTGTTGCATTTTAATAAAAAAAAAAACTCCGAAACATTTTCTTCAAGTTTCCGTTTTGTTCATCCGATTGTGGATATATACTTTTTATTTGACAAAAAGCTTAGTCTAAATCAAAATGACCATAGTTGTGTAAATTTCTGTCATTTTATGATTATCCTTCAATTTTTATCAACATTTGCAAGGTTATATTTGTATAATAAAATACAATAATACATGGCCGATTTAAATGTATTTTAAGTCCAGATAAAAAAAACCTTTATAATTAATCAAAAGGAAATTTCATTGTCAAAAATAGAATAATGTTCTAGCTAGCTAAGTACCAAACCCAACTACTGATGTATGAAAAAACCATTGTAAAACCAAATCAAAAACTACCATAGTGAATAACATTTGGTCTGTAATACTCGATTGGCGTTTTTTGATGTATAAGTTTAAGTCATTAAACGTATGAAAAGTTAAAATAATTAATATTTTTTATAGCTTTTTCCTTGAAGGATGCTTAAGTAAATTAAAATGTGTTTATTTTTTTTGTATATAAAAAATAACATATAATGTTCTTGCTTCAGTCAAATTTATCAAAATCGAAAACACCTAATGGGGCTTTGTGGAGGAAAAACCAGCTCTTAATTTGATTTGTGGAACACATTTGCATGATTGCATCTTTTATATATGGAAATTTTCTAGTAACTTTTTTATAGCTAAAATTCGGAAAATATGAGCGTTATATTTAGAAACATATTTCATAGGACAGTTAAACAAAAGCAAATAGGGAGATGTAAACCTTCGCATATTATCTTTCGGCTTAAATGATTCAAAAGTGAATATATGACTTTTCAGCCAGCTAGGAGACTGGATCATGGCCCAATTCGCCAAAGGAGATGCATCATAATCGACTATTATGAGGCAATTTTCAATATTATTTCAACACATGCTCCATATATATTAAATATACTAGGTTTTTTTTGAACGGCAAGGAAAAAACATTCATTAAAAGAAGCCAGCAGGATGCTGGACAATCACAATACATACAGAAGATGAATTAAGAAGAGAGAGAGAATAGATATTGTAGATAAGACATCCTAGACTAAGTTAATGTTGATCTAGGAAGTTTAATTGGAATCCATAACATGTTTACAACCAGATTCCCCGCCTAGATTGCTTGAGGCATCGACGACCT